ATATGCTACGACGACATAATCTATTTCGAGCTCTGTTTCAGTTTCATAGTCTCACTCTGCTAAACAGCGGAAAAAACTTAGAATCTATAAACTTTGAAAAAGGGGAAAAATTCTTTAGTTGAACATTTCTGAGGATAGGGTGTTTGACACAAGAAGGAGGAGAGCCTGGCGATAGCCGGGCGATCCGACTGGTCAATCAAAAAAGAATGAAGGCAAAGGGCTTAATGCTTTTACACGAGCCTAATACATCGGCTGGCCAGCGCAAGTCATTGTTTGGGTCACATACACTCGAAACGCCATTACGTTTTTGAAAAATTTACTGCTGGATGCATTTGCGAAACGGCTTGACGCACGTCAAAAAGTTTCTGTTTCACCATTTTATGTGAATTTTCCAGGAAATCGGATCAAAAATGGGTTCGGCGTCGGCACAACTTTTCCACGTCCACATGCGCATGAGGCCGTTTTTGTTGCTCCCGTTTTCTCTATTTTATCCACCTCAGCATTTGACACTAGCTTACATTGACATCGGCACGATGCTTGATGAGAGCTCGAGCGGCAGACTGATTTCCTTTCATGGCTGCGTGGTGCAGAGGTGTCAGACCGTAGGAGTCTCTCGCATTAACATCCCTGCAGGTGAATTTTTGTAATAGGTAAAAGAATATTGAATTGAAAACACTCACGCTCCTCGGTCCACGAGTAGGTCTACGATGATAGTTGGTACATCGACTGATGTAATAGGACAGGTAGCGCTTTGTGCTGATAAATCGATATATTGCGAGACGAGTGACCCTTAAGTTCAACAATAGACTTTGATGGAAGCATGAACACACGAAACCGATAACAATCAGGAGAGATAAAACGATTGGAAAGAAGTCTAAACAGTGTTAGAGCAGACTTTCCGTTGGAGAGGTGCGTTGTTGTGCGAGAGGACGACAGTACTTGGCAGTGAGATGCAATGGAGTGAATTGATCTCTCCCAACTATGTCTACTGTGGCTCCTTTGTTCAGCAGCAGTTCGACAGCTTTCACGTGACCATACTTAGCCGCATAGTGAAGAGCCGTGAACTGAAAAGGGGTCCAGTTATACATCGTTGTTTTGTGGAACATTATTCCACTCATTCATTCAGTCTTCTCTTCTATGACAAGTCTTCGAGTACAAAAATAAGTGGGCATTGTGAGTTATTTCACTGTTGGCATATATTGAACCGGTGCATTTGCATGTGTACATACACTGCGGTGTACAATAGATCGAATTCCGTAGAAAAAAAATTAGTTTTAGAGAGAGGCCGAAGTCTTTATTGCTTCTGCTGACAATATATGATTAGAATGGAGAAAAGATTATTTTTCGCGGTAACTATTTGACTAAACAACTTCTTTCAGTTCTTAGCAACAATTTAACACTTTTCAAGCCGGTGCATATTAGATTGGACGATATGCATAGTCAATCAAAAAAATCCGATCAATCCGTCTTTTAGTGCAAGATTATCTACAATACGCTTTCCTTCGCTTACTGATCTAATCTGGATGACCATACTCCATTTCGTCTTCTTTGGATGAGGCAGCTATATCTCTTCAGGGCCTGAAGACAGACTCACCCCATCACTGTCGGCCACATTCACAAGTTCTGGATAACGAGAGGTGAGCTTTCCTATTGTGTCCACATTTCCGTCTCTCGCACCCTGAAAGACTGAAAGAATCTCTCTGAGGTTTCTGAATTGGGCCGCAGAAAAAGTCAGAGTCTACAGCGCGAAGTCGAAAGAATTCTTCAGAGCGATGTCGGAAGAAGCATATCTCACCCGATGAAGCAGAGAAACAATGTTGCACTCGAGTTCATCAACCTCGATCTTCACCGAGTCCGAAGATGACGTTGACGATAGAGCTAAATTCGGGCTATTAGATAACAATGCAAAGCATATGAATTTCTGCTTTATTAGCTTGTTTATTAGCTTTCCGTTTCTATCTTTTTTTGATTTCTTTGGGCACATCAATTCGGAGCAATATGAATTCTTGCTATCAACAGCATATGTAGTGCCGAGTCGCGGATATTTACTCGGTACTTCTACCGCATGACTGTGTAGTCTTTTGGTCAAAAAAAAANAAAAAAAAAGAGTGTGTTCACATAAAATGTCAGACACATCATCGAAATGACACCCCAGGTATGATTTGAGTTCAACTCTTCTGACAAATGATTTTTTGAAGAGTAAGCTAGAGAGCGGAAGTTGTAATAATCATTCGAGGCAAGGCTAGGGCCATTGTTTGAACGAGGGGATTGCCCATTCAGGAGTCTTTAATTTTCCATGAGTTTCTTAATCAATGCGGGTGAAGTACCAGTACCATGAAGAAAGACAAACTCAGCCTTGTCCTCATCGGAACTACCAGTCATCGCGGTCGAGCTTTGTGCTGTAGAAATAGGCATAAAGGGTAATATTACTGGGAAGAATTCCCAGTGCAACTCCTCTTTTGTGCTCCCGACAAGTTAAAACCGCTTTCAATTAGAGTTCGGTTTGCCTTTAGAAATCCAAACGGCGAGCTGAGTCGCTGCTGCTGGGAGGATGAGTTAGGGAACAGTCTCCACCTCATGGCCAGAGTCCATGTTTGATAGCTAGTCAAAGAGTTTTTCCCCAGGCTTTTCCACTCATTTCTGATGTAACCGTCCTGTCGTCATACCTGTCAATTATGAGCATCTATATGAAGAAAAACAAGCGCAGATCAGGGCTCTTGATGAAGCTGGACACTCGAATAGACAATTCACACTTTAGCTTGGACACTCTCCTCCATGGATTGGAAAATACGTTCAAAATACCGATGTCCACCGCTCAACTCAAATAGTGGGGCGACCTCGAAGATTGACAGCTCAAGATCATAGAAGAATAGCCCAGATAACCTCAAATACTACCTTACGTCTCACTCAAATTCGTGCTTCAATGTGATTATCGGTCTCGAGGATGACGATGTCGCGATCTATCCGATCGAACGAGCACATAACATAATTGGTGATGAAGAAGGCGCATGACTAAATGCGCAACGCAAAAACGCAAGGCTAGAATCCTCGCGCAGAGGCATGGCAACATCTTGGGACGATGCATATCTCTCCGAGAGGTTCTGACCTTTGGTTCCAACCCAATTTTCTGCAAGTTTTCCGTTTGGGTCATGTTAGTGCTGGAAATAATTCGGTCTGGACAGCACTGATGCTTATCGTTACTACTGTAGAGAACTTCGCCACGACTCGCCAATCTTGAAGCTTAATTTGGGAAGAGCTACAGTGATTGTTTGGAGGGACATCGGGAGCAGCTGGCTTCTTCGCATATCGGATGGATAGCCAAGATTATTAAGAAGTGCTTCAGTGCCACTTTCTGCCACTCCTCAGAGCTGCGCGACGCAGGACACATGTTTTCCAGCATGTTAATGCAGCTGCGATGTCTCACCGTCCACGAAAGAATTGCTCTAACGCCACGGTGTTAATGTGATCAATTGGCCAGCCCATTCTCTGACCCCATTTCGAAGCTATGGGGAATAACGGTTCGGCGAGGCGAGTTCGGTTCACAACAACCACCAGTACAACAGCATGGAGCAACTGTAGGCGGCGATCCGGCTGTTTGGGAATAAATCGAGACTTGGTTCAGAGCATGTCTAATAGAATGTCGAGCTGATCAGGGACTTAGCAGAGCCAATCGATCAGTGACATCACTCACAGTCCTTTGATTCGTACAGCGATCACTTACTTTTGTTACAAAGAAGACTTCCCTTGAATGAAAAAGTGGAAGCTTTCCGTAATTCCAGGGTTTTCGCATTCGAATATTCGCATAATAAAGGTGTTTCAGCTTAAAATTTACCAGCAAGCCCCGATAAGCCAAAATAAAATGGTGTCCACATGTTTTGTTACCACTGTGTTGTTCATGAATTGTCGATGGCGGAATCATGACGGCCTTTTCTGGATATCGTAGTTCTCTCCCACATTGAGATATAGAACCCAGCGCTTGAGACATGATGCTTCGAATAGCCTCAGTCAGCAGCGATATCGGCCATGCTAAGCTTTTAATAGAAGATGGTGTGATCTATTTTATAATATTACCAGTTTGGCTACGCACGCCAATGCGTGCACCACATGCCCACGCATACGCCTACGATTAAAAGTGTCAATCGGTTGCTCTTGATCTTGAAAATTATGAACCATTAAAGGTTTAACTGATAGGCAACCAATGAATTGAGTAGTACTCACTAATGTTCTCAAGTGATAATAACACCATTATAAGATTTCGTTATCACTGGACCTTCTTCCCTCCACGGGTACATCATTAGTTGAGAATCCCAAATTATTGGTGGTCGGATGAGCTTTGTCGTGAATGATATCAAAACATCAAGTAACCTTTTCCACTGAGTTACAAACCTTGCTGGGTAGCGGTCGTAATCTATATAATAGTCGTAATCATAAATACATCGTAAATACCATAGGAGTTAAATTCAATTGGTAAGTGCTCTTATCAGTCGCTACCAGCTGTTATCAGTTCCTATCACCGGTCGTATACGATCTCGCCATACTCCACGTCACACGCCAAACTGTCATGGCACCACTATTAATGCCATTATTATAGTGGCTCTATGCTTTCCAGGATTCTCATTAGCCCTTATCAGTTTTATCAGCTCCTGGCCTGGCACCAACCGTTCTCGATCCCGTCACCGAGTACCTAGAATCCTGTCACATCTTACATCACCTACTGAAATACCAAGA